TACCGAAACTACCCCTGGTTTTTCTGCCATATCTTTTGCCTCTTTATCGGTTAAACGCGCAGCAAATCCCAAGAAGCTGTTTTGGTATTTTTGCACGACTGCATCTTTTTTACTGGCCCAAATGAAGGGTAGGTTTCATTAATTTCTCAAACAAACAAACACAAATGTATGAATTATCTGTTTTAACTATTTAATATTTTCATTTTTATGGAACCTTTTAGATGACAATTTCAACCCATTTATGTAAATATGGGTAGATTTCATGTAATATATGTTGTTCAATGAGTCAAATGGGTAAAACTTACAAACTTAGTTAAAAACCAAAATGCGTCAAAAGTCGCAAAAAGTGTATTTAAATGATTAAAACACTAAATTGTTTTATTTAAAAAACGTATATTTTTATATTTGTAGTGTAATATTTATAATTGTATGTAGGTTAAATTCAAGAAATTGAGTTGGCATTCTACTTCCATTTCTTCCTATTACAACATTGTACTTGAAAAAATCTATCCAAATTATAACGGTGATATAAAACAATTTTCACTGCTATATTTAGGTAGATTCTTCAAAGTATAATTGAGAATATAGGGCTATACTTTGGTAGATTTTTTAAAATACAATTTTAATTAGAAAAAAAAAACTGTTATAAAAAAGAAATTAAAGTAGGATGCTATAATACATAAACAATCAAAAGTACAATACTTTTTCTTGCATTTAGCTCTATTCAAAATAAAGTTCAAGCTTTATTTGAAAATTATCCAATTCCTAACTTCATTTCTTTGTATTATAGCATTCTACTTCCGATTATTTTCTTATAGCATTAAATTATACAAATTTTATTATTAGAACATTATCATGTCATATGACATTTGCTATAATTGTGTAATTTTTCAAAGATACAACGTTGTAACAGGAAGAAATGAAAGCAGGATGCTACAATAAACAAATCAATAAAACTACTATTGTTGTTTCTTTCATTTAACCCAAATAAAACCCGATGAAAAAGAATAAAAGTATGTGTGTGTTGATTGTGTTACCTTTTTACAAGGGAAGTGAGAAGTATATCATGGTTGTCCCTTGAGGTAGCAGCAGCACCCATGTATACAATATAAACATCATTATTTCCTTCTTCATCTGCCTTAATTTCTCTAAACGAATATATAAAAAAGATGAAGCTACACAAAACATAAAGACTTTTCATGCTTTTGCCTTAAGAATTGTTTCTATGTGACAAACACACATAATACGTATATATAGAAAAAATATGTGGTTAGAGACTTATAGAGAATGATGGGAAAGAAAGTGAAGCACTAAGGTTGGAGAATTTGAAGTGGACGTATAATGGGTTGAACTGTAAAAACCACTATGTATTAACCATTATGTCTTATTTTATTGGTATTAAAAAAGTGTTTGGATAAGATACATACGAACGTATGTGACTATGTGCATTAAAACAAAACGTTTTTTTGTTAATTTCTATTTTAGGAAATTTGTTTTCATACATAAACGTTTTTTAAAAAGTATTTATTTAAATAAGGAGCATGGTTGAAATAGAAATTATATGTGGTTAAAATCTTATGACTATCCGTAGATGTTAGTGTTAGTTTTGTATGTATGTTCTATTATACCATGGGCGAATTTACGTGTGTGTGTTTGTCCATGGACACACACTTAGCTTTATATTTCATGTTGTGCCTCATTTTGTCTTAAGTTCTTGATATCATTTTAATCATATTTTGTCTGTGATTAAACCAATAAATCAAATTTAAAGGAAAAACAAGTTCAAATTAAAAAACATTGGTTAACTACTTGCAGCACTGCAAAATGATTGTATTTTATTTGGTCATGGATTTGCAACATCAAAAACTCAGTTAAGTCGAACACATATAAGTCTCAATTATGGATTCGCTACCATATTTTACATATAGTTTACCCAAATGCTCAAGTGCATATGTTATAAAGTTATACTAATAAAATAAGAAATTCGGTTACCCAAAATAGAAACTAACTTTTGATAACAAGGCCCCTTGTTTTATTATAAATAACTTATAATATAAGTCTTGAAAAATAATTTAGCTTTGTAAAGCCGTTAAAAAGTTGTTTCACGAAAAAAGAATTTTGTGGTTAAATATATAATCATCGATGATAACACGAGATACAAATGTAAAAATGAAGGATTTGTAACAATAGTTTATACATTGGCCACAATACACTTCCATTAACGTTAAGGTTAGGCGAAAGAAATATGATGGGAATTTGTAACAGTCATTTTGTTTTCTTCACGTTATAAAAAACGAGTCTTGTGTAGACATTATAGACAAAGCAATATCTGTTTTTCTCTTCTCAATATAATAGTGATATCGTACAAAGAAAAGAGTTTATTATCTTTGGATAACTTTAATAATCACTATTTTTGGTTTTTTTTTTTTAATAATCATTGTACTTGATGCAACTCATCGATGTTCTTTACATGGAATGTAAAATGTAAAAGCAAAGACGTGTGTATCTCAAAACCACGTGAATTACAAAGTTTATATTGTGAAGTGACGTGCCAACATAAGATTATTTATCAAACAGTTAGTTTAATTTCTTGTCACCTTTTGTTTGGATTTGCTCAGCATGAATGTTGTGGGATTATAATTTCTGTTGAACCAAAACAAGTTGTGGGGTTTTAGATAACTAAAATAATCCGAAAAAAAAAAAGTTTTTATTATTAGTCCAACACCCAATATAAAGGTGGGCAAATAAATCGGTTTTGGCCAAAAATTTGAAAAACTAGAATTGGTTCGGGAAAAAACACAAAATCAATTGGATCGGTAAGGACCGTTTAGGCATTATAGTCATGAAATTGAATAAGGTTTGAACAAAACTATGGATGACAATAGATCGGGTGGACCGTAATCGTGTTAACATGTTTAATTAAACATGTTAAAGATCTCTACCTAACTCAACCTATTTAAATAAAGAGTAAATTACACGAATGGTCGCTACGGTTTAGGGTAATTTGCGTATTTGGTCACTAACTTATTTTTTTAACTCAGAATGTCGTATTGTTTAATTTTGTTACGTGCTTGGTCCTTGTCTTACCTAAAAAGACTATTTTGCCCTTAATTTTTTAATTTATTTAAATAAACACACACCCCAACCCCACCCCCTAACCTTACCTTACATACCTCATCATTTTTCCCTATTTAAATAATAGTATTTTTAGGTAAGACAGAGATCAAACGTTTAACAAAAACAAATAGTAGGGACCAAACGCGTAATAAAAACAAACAGTAGGGACCTTCCGAGTTAAAAAAATAAGTTAGGGACCAAACGCGTAAATTATTCCAAACCATAAGGACCATTCGTGTAATTTACTCTTAAATAAATAATCAGATTGAGAATTCTCAACTCAACACAACCTATTTTGTAAATGGGTTAAAATTAGGATTACTTTTTCAACCCAATAGATTAGACCCAAAGTCACTTATTTAAATTTCCAAGAAAAAAAACCCTTAAAAATCATATCATCTTTAAAATAAAATTACATAAAACTTAAAAACTCCAATAATTGTTCATGTTTGGAAATAATACAATCATAAGGCCATATGTTCATAATGCAAAGACAAATAAAGTATTTACAACCAAAAAACATTATAGATGTTAAATTCCTAAATTCCACGTAACTTGACTTCCACTTTCGATATGATTTTCCTATCGATCGTCCATCTCCTCGGTAGGGGTGAATATTCCACTTTCGATATGATTTTCCTATCGATCGTCCATCTCCTCGGTAGGGGTGAATATTTGGATTGAACCAGACCTGTTTGGAAGAAATTGTTAGACCTTTGAGCGGACCTATTGAGGCTTACTGGGTCCAGGTCTAGCTTTTTCGGTTCTTGTACCTGTTGGACTGGTACAACTTTAGGTGTATACAGTACAACTTGTTAAAGCATAACCGAAAGTTAGTTTATATATTACTACTGTATGGATAAACATTTTGACCGAACCGGATCGGACTAACTCTTGGACTAAACTTGTTTGACAGATATTGATGGACCTTGGATCGGACCTATTGAGGCTTAGCAGATCTAGGTTCATATCCGATCCAAAGATCCAAATGTTCACCTCTACTCCTCAGTCATGTTGACACCACAAAGCTCTTCAAGTTGGGATTCCATTTTTGCATAAGGCTATTAGGTATGGTCAACGGTGTTCCATGTTATTATATGTTATAACATGAAGTGGGGGTGGTGTTCCCCATGTTATTACATGTTATAACATGGTGTTAAGAAGAGAGAGATAGAGAGAAAAAGAGGAAAAAATGATGTGATTGGGTGTTATCTCCCGTTCACGTTACCACATCCTGATAACACAACATCTAATAAAACCAAACGGGGGCGGTGTTCCACTGCGTTTTTAGCTAATAACGGGAGTACTCCTAGCAGTCTAACATATATAAACTTAATGTTAATAATTAATTATAACAAATACACGATTGTATATGATAATACTTAAAATGTGTAAATAAAATATATAAACTTACTGTTAATAATTAATTATAAGAAATACATTATTGTATATGATAATACTTAAAATGTGTAAATAAGATGTAAGAAGTTAAAGCTAACTTTGCCTATCGTAAAACTATAACCTACAAAAGTAAAAATTAAATAAAATATAAGAATCAATTAAAAAGTGGTACTAAATAAATATAAATTGAAACAAATTCATGGACGAGTTAACGGGTTGAAATCTGGTTGAAAAGTTCAACCATAACCTAACCCATTTTAACAAATGGGTTAAACAAGTCAATGCTTTTAATTAAAAATATTGAAAATCTCAAACCAACCCATAATTTATTGGGTTGAGTTGGGTTGGGTTCTGGTTGAGTTAGCAAGTTTAGGTTTTGATCGCCACCCCTAACAAATGCATCCAATGTACAAAAGACGAGAATGCCCTCCTTGTATACATCACAATATAGCAGCAAACTTCCTAATTGTGATAAAACAAAACACACACAATACAATAACAACTCAAAACACCAAGACAATAATTCTACATCTTCCTTTCATGTCAAAAATCAAAAACTAACTTTTCACCATTAAACAATGTGCTTATTTTCAATCTGCCCTAAAACAGAACATTTAAGTTTCAAATTTGATAAAAAGATAAAAAGAAACAGTAAAAAGTAATTGAAACCTTAAACTTTCTTAGCAGCAGCATCCTCTTCATTCATCTTCTTCTCCCATTTCTTCTTTCTATAATCCGCAAGCATTTGTGGCATTTTCTTCATTAATTCCTCTGTATTTGCTCTTTTTTCAGCTGAAATTCTATCACATTTATGCCCTTTTCTTTTTGTCCTCATTTCTTTCCTTTCAGGGTCAAAGGGCCAATCTTGTCCAGCTAACAAAACTTCTTTCCTAAGGCGGGCCCTACGCCTTGCACTAATCCCTAAAGGCTTCCATGCCCCTAATTGCCAATATCCCCATACGCCCTTTGAGAGTTCATCTTTGTATTTTGTCAATTTTTCCCTCCAAGGGTATTGGAATTCAGTTCCAATGGATTTTACAACAGATTTGATTGAATTTCCAGCCATTTTTGCTAAATTCAGAAGATATTTGGTTAGAGTTAGACTACTATAACAGAAAGAAATAAAAGTAGAAGGATTTAAAACAAAAACAAACGAAAATATGTTGCTATTTCTTGCATCCCTATGGATAATGTTGGATTGATATTACACTATTACAGAAAACAAATCAAACTAACATGAAGGCTGATTATACTTGTTCGTCAAAATTAGCCATTGAGCTATTCATTGGATCACGGAAGCCAATGATTTGGATGGAGAAATGATCAACAAATTTGATGAAGGTTGACGAACATGGAGAATATAACTGAGAACACAAAGAAAGCATGATGATGTTGAATGAAACTGATTTGGGGAAGATAATAGAAATCCATACTACTGGCATTCATATACATTGATATTTATGCAGATAAATTGAGACTTTACTTGTTTGAAAGGAACCAAGTGCGACGACGGAGGAGAGGATCGATGAATTACAGTCACATTGACAAATAAAATGCAGACAAATTATTGTTAAACACAGAAATAAAATCGACAAATAAAGAAGAGATACAGTGACCATTTTATGTTGATTTAAGAATTAAGGATTAACGAACAAGAACAAGAACTAACATTTAGGAACAAAAACAATCAGTAAAATGGAATCATAGGGATAGGGTTTTGTGCTTTTGTACCGGAAGTCTGGATTCTGGAACTCGGAGCCGGAGGTCGTCGATGTCGCGTCGGAAATCGGATAAACAATAGGAGCAGGAGGCCGGCGGTTGCGAAAGCTCGAGAGTTGTGAGGGTGTGAGCGGAGCGGCAATGTTTTTGGGGAACTGAGATGAGATTAAACGAAAGAGGCGACGAGAGAGTCTTGATCTGTACTGTAAGTGTAACACGCATTATATGCTGACCTAAAAAAAGATATTATGTATATTTACAAATTATAATGACCAACTAGAAAGGTTACCCCCGTTACGTGGGGCAGAAGCTTTCAATTTTGTTTCCGAATTGATAAATATGTAAGGGGCAGAAGCTTTCAATTTTGTTTCCGAATTGATAAATATGTAAGACAAGACATAAAAAATGCAAGGATGAAAAGTCCGGGCTTTACCCCGGACAAAAAATGTAAAAGTTTTGACTGCAAGGACCAGAAGTGTGAAAATGGCTAAAGAATTAAAGGGGTAGGAATTAGCAACTTTTTAGAAAAGGGATCAAAGTTGTCAAACTGTTAAAGTTTTGTGGCCAAACTTTAAATATTAAAAGGTTCCAAAAAAGTGTAAAAATATTGATTGCAAGGACCAAAAGTGTCAAAATGGGTAAAGAATAATGACCAAAGTTGCCAAAAAACATCCAAATTTAGTATTCCTAACTTCCAACAATAATACAGGGATCAATTCTGCCAAAAAAATGGGAAGTTGAATGGAACACAAACAAAAGGACATGAATAAATTAATTAAAGAAGTACAGGGACCGGATATGTAAATCAAGGGACCAAACTTGGACAAAATATCTCAAGTTTACTATTCCTTTCTTCCACAACTTTAATATATATATATAATAATACTCTAATTTTTTTTTTCTTTTTCTTTGTTTGGTTTTGTTTGAACTCGTATGGTTTTGGTCTATGCGGTGCTATATTGGGGTAAAGTTTGGATAGTTAATTGTTTGTTTGTAGACCTATTTGTTCATCGATTTTGATTTTTTGGTTTCTTATATGTTGTTTTGTGATCCGGGGTTTCTCTTCATCCATAACCATTGTGTGTGTGATATTAGCAATAGAAATCAATAAACTAAAACCATTTTATTTCATGACTTTAACCACACATGTAACATCTCAAAAACAATGGTAAAATTTTTATTTTTCAAACACTCAAAATACAATCAATTTGTTTCAAATCAACCATAGTATAAAATATTGTCAACATCATAGTGAAATCAAAGTCAATGCAGAATAACAATCAAGGGGATGTTGTGCAATCACGTCGAGTCATTCCCTTTCAAACCGGAAGTATCTGAAAATGTTAAATCATAAAACCGTAAGCACAAAGCTTAGTAAGTTTCCAAAAATATCGCATACCATACATACATTGTCATGGGCTACCCCCGTGACCTTTCATACCATTGCCATGGGCTGCCCCCATGGTCTTCCCTTGCAGTGCCTTGGCTACCTCAAGGTCTTACGTACAAGTCTCATGGGCTACCCACATGGTTTTTCATACAAATGACACAGGCTACCCCCGGGGTCTTCCATGCAAGTATCACAAAAGCAACTAGCATTCTACATAACACAATCCAGTGGTCTGACATTGGTGTTTTCGACCCACAAGTAAAGTGAGAAGACTCACTTCACAAATGAAGTCAAAAGTCTACGGCTCGCATAATCAGGAAATAGGTGCTAAACGCCACCTAAATCACCACACAAGATAAATCCTTAGTCTACCCATCAAAACTTGCAATTAACCAAAAGTCAACTAGGTCAAAGGTCACCTCACAAATGGGGCTGTTTTGATTTCGAAAAATGGCAACAAAATAGGAACTTTTTGTGTCTTTTTTCTCAATTGAAAACAACAAGAAAAACAAGGAAAAAAAGTGAGGTTTGGGGCTGTTTCTAGCCTTCGATTTCAACAGCAAAAAAGAGGGTTCAAGGGGTGTTTCTTGGGTCTTTAATCACTCAAAACACAAATCCTTTTTGGGGGTTCTTATACTAATATTTGCATATTTAAGCATATATTTTGTGCATTATCTTAATATCTTTAACTACAATTGTGCTTATTTTAAGACAAAAGGTACTTAATATGTTTAAATTCCGTTTTGTAGCAGCAAATAGATTTTCAGGATAAAAAGGAAACAAATGTGGAGTTGGAAGCAGGAATATTGGACCAAGTCAATCAAAGTCAAAGAAATCAAGAATTCTGAAGCCCATGATGTGGGGCATTCCTGCTATGCCGCGGTGAGTTGGTTTGTCGCGATCAGATCTATGCCTTGGAGAATACGCGTTTTAAGTGATCGCCATGCCGTGGGGCCTATTTTGTCACACCCCCGGTCGAGGCGGAACATGCCGGGAGTGCGAGTAAGTTCATGGATCACAGATACACTGAATATATAGCACAAGTACAACGATAAACAAAACAACATTTGATCGGAAATCTTTTGTGATAAAGGATACCTAAGCAAGAGAGTTCCGAGGCATAAATGGGATCAAACATGTCTAATTAAATTTTTTATTAGCGATCCCATAAATCTAGGAATTATATAGCAAGATATAATTGATAATCGATATCTACCGAGTTGAATTCAAATGGATGGGATAAAGGATACCTAACCATTTATTTGTTTTGCAACTTGGATCCTAGGCTTTGATAATTAATGTTTTTGGAAACTAAAAGGGTATTAATTATTAAAGATTAAATATTCAAAATACTAAATGAATTTTGTTAAAATTTTGTAGTTAATTTATCCATTCTCATTATCATGAATTGTCATTTTCTTTAATGACTAAATGAAACAGTAACATTCAATAGATACAACTTCAATGAATGGGTTCATGTCTTAAGAGACAATCTCGTGAGAGATATGAAATTGTATACACTTAAGGGTCTTAGTCCTAAACTATTTGCCTTGAGCAATTAAACCTGAGCATGATACCTAGTAAAGGCATCATTGTGATGCTTAAGATGTTTCTAACATCAAGCTAGGAATAGTTATTCATGACTTCTAGGAAGTCTTGGATAATTTAAACATATATCTGATGATATAACAGGTCAAACAATATTCCAATAAATACAATGATATTTTATTTAAAGTTAGTTTAAACATTGGAATAATGCAAGGCTAAAAGAATCACCTTGTGTGATCTAAGATGCCCATGTTTTATGGACTGGACACCCTTAAGCCCAAGAAATCTACTAAAGCCCACATAGATGGATCCTGTTTCTTTTGTGAAGAAACTGGACATTGGAAGAGGATTTACTCCTCTTATTTGGAATGAAAGACTGGAAGAGACTAGTACTTCTAGTATCTACTAGATAGAACTCATACTTTTCATATAACACTTAGGTACTTGGTACTTAAATGTTAATCTAATATTTGTAAATGGCTTGCAAATATTTATTGAAGAGTAAACAAGATGAGCACAATCAAGTTGGAACTACACTCTCGGAGTTTAGTTTATTATTTATGCTTAGAACATAAATTACTTGTAATGTAAAACAATATTTGTTTTGGAACAATGTATATTTTAATTTAGCATGCCTAAATTTATGTCTCAGTTATTTTATTCAAATGTTTGATCATTTACTTAATCGTTTGTCATAACGATAATATTCATATTCTGAAATGATTAACTTCTATTTATGAGACTAGATCTCTTAATAGAATTATGAAGTAAATATCAACATTTTATAAATAAAATCAAGTTCTATATACAAGCACTTTTGACTTAAACTTGTTTTAAATCAAAACTTATCTTGGACATTTATATCTTTATTATATAAATGACATTCACATATTCCAACTTCAAGAAAGGGATCTTTGAAGGCAAATAATGTAGTTTACTTGACATATGTGAACCTTATTTATATGTAAAGGATTCATAATGATATTTTCACTAAGGTGTAAATAAAATAATTAAGAAACTATACACTTTGGTGTATGACTTTCTTTCTAATGAATGTCTGAGATTAATCACAACATACCAAATCAACTTTGTTAACAAACTATAGTAGTTTTAATTATATTTTACGTGGTAAAGCATAATTGTGAAATCTTTGTTAAAGGTTTCAAAAAGTTGAGATACAAACTGGTAAGAACCATCTAAGGCCTTAATGATAATAAATGATGAATTAAATCTTACTTGGTATGATTTACTTTCTAATCGGTAAAAATATCCTCCTTTAATGTTTTTGGGATAATAATTCAATCACTATTAAATTGTATCTTGAATACAAATACCAGCTAATAAGTAGATTAAACACTTTATAAGATTTAGTATGGAAAGGCTCCATCTTCATCTTACTTGATGTTTTGTGGATTTGAAGCTGATATTGGACTAAAGCTTCTAAACCCAAAATCTATTAAATACATATTTGTGTAATATTCTAAATATGGCTTAGATTGTTATATAAAAACCCACCAAGAATAGGTTCTTTTATTCTTATGAAAGCTAAGTTAGTAGAAAGCAAGCTTCTAATGACAAAGCGAGTGAGAGGAACATGGAACTTGAAACAGCTCAAGAACCATATCCTTATGTACTAATAGTTGGCACTAGTTTTAATAAAGGGTTGTTAAAATAGAATAATAGCTATTCACAAACACAAAGTATTCGCATTAATGGTAGAATTCATCAATGACTTGAGAAATGTGGGATCTCTTATTGATGAGATTTTACTGATGGTTTCTGGAAAATCCATCAAATACCAAAATGTTATGTCAGATCTCGAATATGATAAATGACTTAGAGTCATGAACATGAGATGTAATCCATGTATGAGAATCAAGTATCGGCTTGATTAAAATTTCTCCCTATAAAAAGGCTAGAAGGAGTAAATGATTCTTTTGGAAAGAATAAATTACATGGATAACCATACATATTTAAAGCAAAACTTTTAGTAAAAGGATTTTCTCATACTCATGTCATTGACTATGGTCCTCATCTGAAACATCCCAAAAATACAGACCAAAAATTTCGTTTTTAATTATTAATAAAACCATAGTTATCCAAAACACATGTCATAATATCTCAAACATCATATCAATGTATATCAAAATATCATATTATAAACATCCCAGACTGAACAAATAGTGTGTGCGCTGCAATCATCCCGAGCCCTTCCCATTGCTACCGGAAGTACCTGAAACCAAAACTGAAAACTGTAAGCAAGAAGCTTAGTGAGTCTCCCCAAGCTACCAGATACCATACATATAACATGCAACTAAGAGATACGGGCCCCGCCCACTCTCATGGAGATTCAGGCCCCACCCACACTCTGTTGTCTAGGAGATTCGGGCCCCGCCCACACTCTGCTGTCTAACATGCATACAAGTATCACACAGACAACAAGTATATCTACTCTTATCAAACAGTCACATAACTATATTCAAATAATACTACGAGATTCGGGCCTCGCCCACACTTGGCTGGTATGAGATTTGGGCCCCGCCCACACTCGTCTACTATCATATCACATATACGGGACGACCTTGGTGCCGTAGACCCATTCCTACTGAAGGAAACTCACCTCGCAAGGCTGACTGCTGAAAACTCGAGTGAGGAATCTCTGACTGCTGCTCCGGCGACTCCCCATCTATCAATTTCATAATAACAACTTAATCAAAATCTGATAATCCTTCTTAGGGTAAAATGATCATTTTACCTCCTGGTCAAAGTCAACGTTTGGGTCAAAGTCAACCTTCTGGTTGACCCAACTCGTCGAGTTGCTCCATCAACTCGTCGAGTCCTAGATCCTGAAATTGCGATCTAACTCGTCGAGTCTCCCCCTGACTCGTCGAGTTTCCAGGCTACTCTCAGTCGCGATCTACCGATTTAACTCGCCGAGTCCCTTCACCGACTCGTCGAGTTCTTCCTTAAGCTAAAACGGGACAACCCAAATCAACTCGTCGAGTCCCTGTTTGGACTCGCCGAGTTCCCCTGTCTTATTGATCCATCTCAATGGATTAAGCTCCTACCCTTCAAATCCAAACTCCAAACTTCATCTACACACTGGGAATACACTTTTAAGGGTAAAGTTTCCAACTTTACCCGTCCTTAGTCCTTCTTAATGGGTTTAGCTCAAACCCTAACTCTCTAGAACATAGATCTTGGTCCACAAGCCATAATACCCTAAACCAAGGCACACTATACTAGATATAGGCTCTAAATATCAGTTGGACATGTAAATTTCCTAGCTTTCGTTCCATGCATGGCCTTTTAGGGCTAAAAAGGCCATATAAATGCTTAAAAGCTTGCATGGGGCTTCCATGGTCATAAAATTTGCACCTTTATACCATGGAATCCCTCCTAGATCCTAGATCTGAAATATAAGCCACTTGGGACGTCCAAAACCCAAAGACCAAGGTTCTTGAACCAAAACCCTCAT